CCTATTGCAATAAAACGGCAATTTCATACTTTAACCCCTAATATTATTGCTCAACAATAAGTGTTTCGTTTGAAAGCTCTCGTGACGTTGTTTGTAGACGATATTCTCATTCTATAATAATAAGTACATTTTTTTTTGCAATATTTTATTGTCCGTTTGTCCGTCCATCTGTATATTATGTAGAAAGATTGTCGAGCCGGTTTTAAACATTGATTGTCAGGCTTAACAGTTTATGTACGATTTACGAAATTATAAACGGTAAAGCGACTATTTTGCGTGAGTTGCGTGTTGGGAACACCCCTGCGGCCCAAGTAAAAGTTATTAAGAAATTTTTAAAATACCTACATATTTAGGTATAAAGTAGAACAAAATTACGGCTTGAATTGTCATGTATAACAAGCGCCTACTAATTTAAAAGCTATTTATCAATCAACCAAGTTGTGGAAAGTTAAAAATATTGACTTCGTACGATCCGATCGTGATTACACCAAAACTTCGTAAATGTCGCCTAAGAGACCCCACATTAAGTATGTTTTTTACTTGCACAGCAAATAAATTTTGTTTCAATTTCGTTTGCTTCTGTACACATTTTATTGAGTTAATAAACAATAACCTGTATATTTACTTTTTTATATACTCATTATCAACGCGGCTTAATACTTCGATAATCCTTGAATTCAACCCTTCTGTGTGGCTAGCGTGTTCAACTAGGTTAAGGCCTAGATCGTAATTAACGTTACTACCGTACAATGGCAACGAGTTTGCGAACATTGTCTATTTTTAATGTTGCTTTGAAATCATTCAACTAAATTAATTTTTTGGTTGTTGTTTAAATTAAATGTTTTCGATGTTTTATTGCTATTATCATTATTTTTTTAAGAAATAGTAAGTGCTGAAAAATGTTGATTTGTATTAAAAATTAAGTCGAGAAATATTTTATGAATGAAATTGATTATAATATAATTATAACACTTTTTAGGGGCAAAAATCATATTCAAGTTGTTACAAAACTGTTATGTAATTAACCTGCAAAAAACAAAATACAAGGTGGAGAATCAATATGTAACAATAATGTTAATCTCAACGCCAATGTAAGTAAATTTTCATAGCAGATTCGTACCAAAAATCAATAGTAGTCCAAGATGAAGTTGGGAAGAATACTCAAGGTATATCTAAATATATTTCTTAGTTTATACGCCTTCAATGAACTTTCAAAAAGTTTTAATGACGCGTAAACCACGCCGTAAAAGTTAAAATTGCATATTGAGTTACAATAACTGTATAGTGGTTATACAAACATGACAAAATTGTATGTAAGTGCTTACAGAGACTGCGATGATAAGCTCTTTGTGTATTTTGCGTGATTCTACGTCTTTGTTGCGCACTTACGAATTCAATATTTAAATAAAAATGTTTTTGCCACAGTTTTATTAAATATCACCAATTTTCCAAGTAAACAGCGGACTTCATATGTATATCTAAAAAGTAATGCATTCCGTTTTACTACCACTCTGAGATTTACGATCGTTTCAGCTTATCGAGGGAACTGCACTAAACTTTACTGTTAGCGAAGATCCGCAAGAAAACGATTTTGATGCGAATATAAATACTTACGCGACATGGTTGGCTTGTGGTAGAAAGGCAGCTGCAAGCGCCAAAAGCAGCGGCGCGCTGCGGGGGCGGGCGCCGCTCATGGCACGAGCGGTGGTCGCATGGAGTCGCTCGCGTTCTTATGTCAGCCGCGCTCGCACGCCGCCGACGTCGCGCGGCGGACTGCCTGGCCCCTGCCAACGCGCCTTGTGCTCGTTCAGCGACTGCTTCGCCGCCGCCGCGCCGCTATCGATTGCCAGGCGTGACCCGGGCCGGCACCGCCTGTCGTTCCAGCTATCGACCGTCGCGTCGTCGCAGCCGATGCGACGTGTACCTACTCACCTCCTAATTACTACACTGCCGAATTCCTTCGCATGAAATCTTCAAACGTGTGGCGACGCTACCGACAAATAAATTTTCCTTCGCTTCGAAGAGAGTTTTTCAAATGAAATTTTACAAGCAACCATTTTAATTACTTCAGAAAATATTTTCTCGTTGTTGAAAACTTGAAAAACTTATTTATTTTTCAATATTAAATCTTATTTATTTATTAAATATCGCATAGATATTACGAGTTCTGTGGCAGAATAACTGTCTACTGACAGATTAAATACCTGACGCGAAGCGCAATTAAACTCTCTCTCTATTCATGTTGAATTTTTTATATTGGCATCGCTTTGTCATATTTGTAATTAATATGAATTGAAAATGAGATAAGTATTGTCGATTTCACGGAATTTTTATTTAAAGTAAACACTGTTCTGTTTTTTATACACAAATTTTGTACAATGATTTTATTTATAAAAAACAATACAGTTAATCTCCTTTTTGCTGCGTGGTTCGCCGAGTGTCATACTGAAAATTGTCATTTTTTTTTCGTATATTTTAAAGAACGACTGTTTTAAGATTTAAAATGGTGCTATCTTAAAATTGTGGGATACTTATCTCAAAAATATTTATTAAAGGGCTATGAATACAATAAAACTTTTTTAACAAATTGAAACTTGACTTTCTATAAAGAATTTTGTTTTACTATTGGATTCAATTGGCTGAGTCAGGCAGGCGGGTCAGGTGTCTGAGATGTCAACACTTCTCATTGTGAAGAGCCAATCTACTAGAAGTCGTCCCCTATTTCCCCCTTCCAAGCCACCTTGTCATGGCGCACGTAACCTAACACAGGTAAGGTTGCGGTCTCACTCGTGATGACGCGTGGCATAGGCGAATGAACCTGTGTGTGGAGTATAACTTTGGCGCCCATACGTCTGGCGCGTTACGTTAACGAACTCGCTCTCCGACGAACTGAACAAAGGATGTTTTTTCTATCTGTATACTACGTACTATCTTGAATATTGATTGTTTATTTTGTGCATCGCCACCTAGTAGGTTCAGTGACGCAAATAAAGGACTAAATTGAAATTTAATCTACTAAATATTAGAAGCTTGCATAGTAAAAAATATAACTACAACTACCTCTCCTCTTGGCAATGTTACCTCTACCACTTAGAACAATTATTTACTGTCCACTTTATGTCAACCATAAATCTGAAGGCAATAAATAATGATTGCATTAAAACTATGTTAACATAGTTAGTTATGATTTGATGATGATGAATGGAAAGATTGCTGAGTGACTCATTTAAACAGAAAAGAGTTATAATATGATAGCATTAAATCTGGAGTAAATTTTATTTTAATGCAACAACTGCTACGCTTTAGCCTACGGTGTAAATGCTACGCCGTAGCAATTTGAAGAAGAAATATTTTTAATAATACCAAGTGACGGCACGAACAACTCGTGACTCGTAAGCGACACGCCTATCCATAACAGTTGTAGTGCCACTCAGAGCTATTAATCGCAAAAATCTTAGGGGCACTGCCACTATGCCCATCACTTTGAGACATAAGTAGACAAGTCCCATGTACCTGTAATTTCACCATACTTATTACACTACAATAATTACGCATATCCATGCAATACATTAAGATTTATTAAAACATACAAACCTATTATCTTAGCACCCCACGTAGTAAGTAGTTCCTCTAACGTTTGAATAGAAAAACGGTTAGATAACAATATTGCAGAAGTTTGTTTATACTAAAGTTTAAAACAGAATATTATGAACTAGAAAACTACTCATGCGAGATAATTCAAAAAGAGAAATGAATAAACATTTTATGGAAAGTACTGAAACGATATCAATTATTACATTTTCCCATAAATGTTATAAAGTGGCATTCGGAGTATTTAAAAACCATCGAGTGTTGTTAAAACAAACAATACAAAGAGATTAATTATATCAGATTCACGTCACGATATTCATTGTGACAATTGAGATTAAATTTTAAAGTTAAAATGATTGCAAATCTGAATCGTTACATTATAATTAAATTTTTACATTAACGCTTTATTGGGTATCATACAGTGAATGAAATAATAGGGGTTTAAATATGAAAATGCCGATTTATCGTACTAGCCACTTTCAATTAAAATTCATCCTGCATGGCGTCAGATTTCAGAGTGAAACTTTTTTCACATGAAAACTTAAATATTCTTAATTTAAAAAAAGCATTATATTTTGATTGTTCGGCTTTCAATTGTTTTTACATTCAGCTTGTAGTGTGAAGATGGATACAGCGACGATCAGAGTTAATTTTCTACAACAAGTTCCCGTATGGGGTTAACGCAGCACATACTGGTCGTAATGTCAATACTGGAAAAATTTGGAAAGGATGCGGATAACGAGCGCACAGTCAGATTTTCGACAATTTTCGAAATTTGGACTTGAAGAATGGGCCACGAGGAAGAATAGTCACTCAGTTAAATAACGATGAATTGAAGGTGTTGAAGATGATCCATATCAAGCTACCAAGGAATTAGCGGAATTAACATTAACATACTCACAATAAGACATAATGGCATTTGAACAATGACGGCGATATTTGCAGCAAAACAGCTTCACCATTATTGTACCATGATAACGCAACAGCTCACACTGTTCGAGAAACAGTTTTAACACTACAAGGCTTGCAGTTAGAAATTTACTACATACATACTCGCCGGATCTCACTCCAATCAACTACCATTTTTCTGCGAATTGAACTATTTTTCGCACGAAAAAATTTCTTCCCAGGAAGCAGCACGAAATGGTTTCACACAGCTTGTGGAGTTCGGGTCTCCGGTTTAAATAACCTTCCGATTAGATGGCAGAACTGTATAGACAACGAAGGTAAACACTTTGATTAAACAAATATTTATCTTACAAAAATGTTTTAATTTTTCAGAACGAAACGGCAATTTCATACTTTAACTTCTAATATATTAATGCAGTACTGTATATAACATTTACAAATTTACTTTTTATTATATGACAGTACTATAATAAAAAGTAAAGTTGCAATGAATATTTGCGTCACTATTCGGTACTCCGCTTATTCGGCCGAATATTGTGCCACTATTCGGCCAAATACCGAATACCTAACAGGCGGAAGAAGTAAGAAAATGCACAGTACATTATTAGGTAACTTTTATTAAATGCAGAACACACACTGTATCTTCGTGAAAAAAAATGCTACATAATTAAGTTGTTTTTGTAAGTAATCAAAAAAGATAACATGTCAAATGAAAACTTTCTACTTACTATGTAGTTTACTCATGACTAAATAAACACTAACAAAATCACACATGTATTTGCAAACCAAAATAAAATTATGTATTCGAAGGTTAATCAAATTGAAGTTTGATAAATAATTACTTTATTAAGCCACGTTTCAATAATGAAGTAGGAAATAAAAATACATTTTTTGATTTATCGTTCGAAATTATTTGTCATACGTAACTGAAATTAATAAACTAGTGGTATTTGTCCTCCCAATTTTCGTACGTGCGTTATTCAGGCCGAATTGTTTGGCTGAACATACGGTTAGGTGGCCACGCTCTTACCCAAACATTCCGTATTCGGCCAGAGACCGAATATTCTACATGTTACAACACTAATAAAAAGTATTCTGATGACGGAACTCACGCGAGAAGGCTAAAAGTTTTTTGTAAAGTCATGTCTATCGAATCCGTAAGGAGATTTTAGGAGCGCAGCAGTTTTTAAAACGATATTTCTGTTCCACGGGTTGAATTCTCTACGCTAATATATACATGAGTAAGTATTAGTTTAATTTTGTTCAAAAACAACACTACTAGTCGTATTGTGCTGTTTTCATAGTCACAGGAAATCACGTAGTGTTCATGTAGTCGTCATAGTCGTACACGTTATTTTACGAAGCTTTATCACTGATGACATAGATTTTTTGTAATGGCGTACTACTCGTATATCGCGACTTTGAATACATTGTAACTGAACAACTACGTTTCCGTTCGATATATCTCGCACCCTTGGTATCTTGTATTTGAGCGCGTACACAAAGCCGGTGGTGACGTCTGGGAATAAGCGACATATTTACGTAACTATCGTTTTTGTTTTTTTTTTTTTCACATATAAATTACAGGATGGACATTGTAGAGAATGTTAACTTAATAGCGGCATACGAGTGAGAATAATACCAACATTACGAACAAAATATTTTTTCAAAGAAATCCAATCAATAATTCTTTTATGGCGTTTTTAAAACACACCATTTGGGCGAACACGTTTCTTCGTCTTTACTTCAAGGGCAAGAGCAAGTCCATTTTTTTTATCTAGTGGGTACGGACATACAATACTTAATGTCAAAGCTAGACATTTCAATTAGTCATCCCTGCTGAAATTATATCCTATTATGAATTTGGTAGGTGTAAACAGTCGCGTTTCACTTAACAGGAATATCGTGTTATCTGCGATGCATGTATTATAATAGTCGGCAGCGATGTTTAATTTTATTGTCTAAAATAAAATAAAAATTGTCAATTTGGAATAATTGTCGTCTTATATAACATGACGTAAATAAAATTGTTATAAGATTGTAAAACAATTTTTTTTTACTAAAAAGAAAATAAAATATTGTAAATTAAACAATTTTCTCGGATGTAAATGGCGTCTATTTGTTTTTTCAAATTAACCAAAACTGGTTGATGACTTTATTACCTTGTACAGCTGCATTTCTAGATATAATATTAGCTTCTAAATTGCATTGGGCTCCAAATACAAATAACTTATTAAAACGGCTCAGTTCTGCAGTGTCCGCGATTTAAAAAATACGCAAACTTTCAGAAGTCGAAACAAGATTGATTTACTTCAGCTACTTTCACAGGGGCCCAGAGAGAAATAAGTTTCAAGAGATTTACT